GACACGCAGGACAGCACATGCTGCCAGTTGACCTCCTGTGTTTCCAAAACGTCTTGCAAATGGCCAACCAACTCCTCCGGACTCAGCATCACAAACAGCTGAAACACAAGTGCCCACTCCCTTCAACGTTGCAGCAAACCAACGCCAGACAGAAGCCAGTCCCTTGTCCCCTGTGAGCCCTGGCCCACTGCAGCCACCTCCCACCTCCCTTGGGAAGGATGCAGAGGTGGCTGGATGCAGCACAGCTGCTGTGAAGATGCTCTAACGTCTCTCCTGTCTGTCCGTGGTGTTGGTACCAGCTGGAGAACCCTCATCTCAGGGAGGGGCCGTGCCCCATGTGGACAGCCACGGCTCACCAAGACTCCAGACTCTGCACACATGGCATCCCTGGGAGGCAGCTGGACAGGACTTGGCCCGTCAGATTTACATACCCCCTGCATCATGGCAGCAGGCTGGCACACTCACCCTGCGGAACAGAGTGCTAAGCAGAGGGGGTGTCCTCGCAAAGCTCCACTCTCTCTGCATCTGGACGGCATCAGACGCTGCAGGAGGGGAAACAGATTCCACGTCAGTAATCACAAAGCTGTTTCTTAAAGCTTCACTGTGAAAAAGCTATCTTGTTTTAATTTGTATTTTATTTCAATCACTAGTAAGTACACCATTTCTCTGTTTGTTGTCTATTTTCTACATTATCAACTCTCTGTGCCTGTCACCTAATTACTTACTGGTAATACTTTGTACTACTACCTATAAATACTTTCATGTATCAACTGCATTTTAATTTTGCAGCTTTTAAGCTTTTAACTGTCAATAAAACAGCCACGGTGAGGATGCCACCCACAGGACACTGGGCTTAGAGCAGGTGCTGAGCCCTTTGGGAACCACCTCCCAGCAACTGTGGGCACCTCCTGCATTTGTGCTTTGTCCCCACCCTGACTCCTGCCTGACCACCTACCCTGGGACGCAGGAAAGACACAGAAAGCTCAGTGGACAGTGGGTCGAGGCAGCAGGCAGGGAAAGTGAAGACTTAGGAAAAGTCTGTCACATACGGGGTTAGCAGGACACCCATGGGCAGGTGACACACTAAACACTGGCAGGAAACCCACATAACTGCCTCAGAAATGCTTATGATACAATGACATTAAAACAGAATCACGGGGCCAGGCGTGGTGGCTCACGCCTGTAATCCTAGCACTCTGGGAGGCTGAGGCGGGTGGATTGCTCGAGGTCAGGAGTTTGAAACCAGCCTGAGCAGGAGTGAGACCCGTCTCTACTTAATAGAATTTATGTATTACTAATACACATAGAAAAAATTAGCCGGGCATAGTGGTGCATGCCTGTAGTCTCAGCTACTTGGGAGGCTGAGGCAGGAGGATCGCTTGAGCCCAGGAGTTGAGGTTGCTGTGAGCTATGCTGAAGTCCCAGCTACTCGGGAGGCTGAGGCAGAAGGATTGCTTGAGCCCAGGAGTTTGAGGTTGCTGTGAGCTAGGCTGACGCCACGGCACTCACTCTAGCCTGGGCAACAAGCAAGACTCTGTCTCAAAAAAAAAAAAAAAAAAGGCCAGAAGAGTCTATAGCCATACAACCTGAACACCCCAATCTCATCTGGTCTTAGAAGCTAAGCAGGGCTGGGCCTGGTCAGTACTTGGATGGGAGAAAAGGCCAGCAGAAATGCTACACATTAAAGATATTTTTATTTTGGTGACACTTCTTCTGTCTCCTCTTTTTTACTTCTGGATTTTTTTGTAAGAATGTGTGCCTTTCAAATGAAAAGATATTTTGTAATTAAGTGTCCTTCATGACCAAGGCATCTTAGATCCTCAAACCTTCTCCACATGCTTCAGGGCCCAAGCTCTGGTTGAGGACAGAGCTAAAAAAGCTGCCGAGAGCCCCTGGCCTCTCCCCATTCGAGCTGCACCGTGGCAACAGGGAAGAACAGTCCCAAACTGGGCAGCAGTTCCATGGCTTCAGCACCAGGACCTACCTTTCAGCACAGGGTTGTGTGTGAGGATCTGAGTCAGAGTATGACTGAAAAACCTCTTTGGAGAATCTGTGGATGTTATGTCGCCACGTATGTGTCCACTGAACACACCGAACCTGCAAATGTAGTAGAAAGAGCTTCTCTGGAGAGGGAGTTTAAGCAATCTAGTTACCCAGGTTATAGAAATAAGCACCCTGCTACAGGCTGAACTGTATCCTAGAAAAATCCCCATGCTGAAGCCCTAATTCCCAATGTAACGGTGTCTGGAGGTGGGACAGCAATTAGGATTAGATGAGTGTGTAGCAGTGGGGCTGTGATGAGGTCACTGCCCTGGTAAGAAGAGACAGCAGAGAGCGGTTGTCCCTCTCCACACACGTGGACACAGGAAAAGGCAGCCTTCTGCATGCTGGAAGGAGGCCCTCAGCAGAACCCACCACAGCAGCCAACCTCCCAACTTCCGGCGTCCACAGCTGCTCGAATCACTTGCTTCACAAGCCACAGACTTTAGTACTTCGCTACAGCAGCTGAGCTGACTGATACACACGCAAAGATTCAGAGAACAATGCAGTATTTTACACACTGCTTTAATAGAAGTACTGAATTATACAAGACGGTTAATGGAGCGCTACTGAAGTAGTTGTGGGGGACAAGAAAGGAGGCGGAGATAAATACAGAATGAGAAGACTGAAAGGGCTCGGGAAGGGCGGGGATTCTCCTGGCTCCAGGACTAGACTTCGAGGTCCCCACCCACCTTAGTTTGAAGCAAACCCCAGGATCCACCTTCCCCCAAGCCCTGATACCTCACCTCCCACCTTCCCATCCACACGTCTCCACAGAGCTATCAGGAGAGAAACAAAGGTGGCAAAGCCAAAACCACTGAGCAATCTAAGCAGGTGGAGGGTACCCAGGAAGACGTGTAACTGCAGTGTGTTCCAGAAAGGTGGGCCAAGAGGGCAGGAATGAAACAGTGAGGGAGGGAGGCCACAGCACACAGATCAAATGCGGGGAGGGGGAGGGTGAGGGAGGCCACCACCTGGGCACACTCGGTGGGAGGAAGGTTTGCAATGACTCTCGGGGTCCCAACCCCTGGGACCAGGAGTGCAGAAATTCCAGAGGCAGACAGGATAGCCCAGGAGAATGCCTGGCATCCCACTTCATCTGCAGAGGGAGGAGGCTCAGCGGAACACACTCCCAGGGTTCCCAGCGGCCGTCTGTTACCACAAATGGCAGAGAAAGTGCTCAGGAGGCAGCTGCCAACACTTGGAAGAGTTTAAAATGCCCTAGGTCTCTCATGCAGCAGGAACAAGCTCCCGTGTGCCCCAGGTAGTCCTGCCCCCGGGACATACCAGCACGTCACCACCTTGTGCGAGGGGGACCCATCCTGTGCACCGGCAGCCAGAGCATCCAGGGCAACTGACAACGGAAGCCGGGAACAGAAAACAACATCAGTACATGTCCATCTAAAACAGTCCCTAACAGAGAATTTCTGGGCAATTTCTAAATTGCATCCCCAGAAGGCACCACGTTCATCAAGACTTCTAAGTGCCCTCAGTACCACTGAAATCTGTGAGCCTTTAAAGTTAATCAAAACATGCAGACAGAACAAAACACGTCCCTGCTAACCACAGGTTAAAACGCTGTCACTTTGCATCACTGCTCTGCATGTTCAATCTAAAGCCATTAGGACCTGACAGGCAGGATAGAGTGGAGGGTGGAATCCACACAGTCAGGCAGACGGGTGAAACACTTTGAATGAAAAGGCAAGAAACTGCTAGAATGGCCACAAGCTATCTGGGCAGAGAATTAACTCACAGGTCAGCATCCTCTGCAGCACATCCAGGGCGACCTGTCAAAACAGAACGTAAATCACCATCACTTTGTATTTCCAGGCAGTCATGTGCTCGAAACATACAAGAGAATTACTTGTTATCCTAAAGTAAAATAAGAAGTTAACTTTAAAAGAGGTCCACTTTTTAAAATTTCCTCTTAGACTTAGAAATTATCCCAACACCAGGAGACCAAGACAGTGAAGAGGCAGAACTTTCTGGAATCCTCCCTAGTGACACCCCACGATTGCTCCCGCATGGCCTGAGGCTGAGCCCTGGGGATGGGCAGGACACTGGCTCTTACAGGCCTGTCTCAGCCCAGACCACTGCACAGAGCTCTCCCTCCCCCAGCCAGAAGGCACAGGCCTGGATTCTGGGCCGTGGTACTGAGACCAGCACCTTCAAGACCTCTGGGAACGAGAAGACCTGGGTAAAAAGATGCGACTGCCCATTTCCATTCCTCAATCCACTGACTTATGGAGAAATAAAACTCAAGAGCACCTCACAATCACAACAAAGTAGATTTCCTCACAAAACGCCTACAGCCTGTGGTGTGGAGCAAAACATTAGCCTGTGGTTCAGGAACTTCCAAAAGGAAACGAACAAAAACTTGGAATGTCAAAGATTCAGAGAACAATGCAGTATTTTACACACTGCTTTAATAGAAGTACTGAAATATACAAGACGGTTAATGGAGCGCTACTGAAGTAGTTGTGGGGGACAAGAAAGGAGGCGGAGATAAATACAGAATGAGAAGACTGAAAGGGCTCGGAAAGGGCGGGGATTCTCCTGGCTCCAGGACTAGACTTCAAGGTCCCCAACCACCTTAGTTTGAAGCAAACCCCAGCATCCACCTTCCCCCAAGCCCTGACACCTCACCTCCCACCTTCCCATCCACACGTCTCCACAGAGCTATCAGGAGAGAAACAAAGGTGGCAAAGCCACAACCACTGAGCAATCTAAGCAGGTGGAGGGTACCCAGGAAGACGTGTAACTGCAATGTGTTCCAGAAAGGTGGGCCAAGAGGGCAGGAATGAAGCAGTGAGGGAGGGAGGCCACAGCACACGGATCAAATGCGGGGAGGGTGAGGGAGGCCGCCACCTGGGCACACTCGGTGGGAGGAAGGTTTGCAATGACTCTCGGGGTCCCACCCCTGAGACCAGGAGTGCAGAAATTCCAGAGGCAGACAGGATAGCCCAGGAGAGTGCCTGGCATCCCACTTCATCTGCAGAGGGAGGAGGCTGAGCGGAACACACTCCCAGGGTTCCCAGCGGCCGTCTGTTACCACAAATGGCAGAGAAAGTGCTCAGGAGGCAGCTGCCAACACTTGGAAGAGTTTAAAATGCCCTGGGTCTCTCATGCAGCAGGAACAAGCTCCCGTGCACCCCAGGTAGTCCTGCCCCCGGGACGTACCAGCACGTCACCACCTTGTGCGAGGGGGACCCATCCTGCGCGCCAGCAGACAGAGCATCCAGGGCAACTGACAACGGAAGCCGGGAACAGAAAACAACATCAGTACATGTCCATCTAAAACAATCCCTAACAGAGAATTTCTGGGCAATTTCTAAATTGCATCCCTAGAAAGCACCACGTTCATCAAGACTTCTAAGTGCCCTCAGTACCACTGAAATCTGTGAGCCTTTAAAGTTAATCAAAACATGCAGACAGAACAAAACACTTCCCTGCTAACCACAGGTTAAAACGCTGTCACTTTGCATCACTGCTCTGCATGTTCAATCTAAAGCCACTAGGAACTGACAGGCAGGATAGAGTGGAGGGTGGAATCCACACAGTCAGGCAGACGGGTGAAACACTTTGAATGAAAAGGCAAGAAACTGCTAGAATGGCCACAAGCTACCTGGGCGGAGAATTAACTCACAAGTCAGCATCCTCTGCAGCACATCCAGGGCGACCTGTCAAAACAGAACGTAAATCACCATCACTTTGTATTTCCAGGCAGTCATGTGCTCGCAACATACAAGAGAATTACTTGTTATCCTAAAGTAAAATAAGAAGTTAACTTTAAAAGAGGTCCACTTTTTAAAATTTCCTCTTAGACTTAGAAATTATCCCAACACCAGGAGACCAAGACAGTGAAGAGGCAGAACTTTCTAGAATCCTCCCTAGTGACACCCCACGATTGCTCCCGCATGGCCTGAGGCTGAGCCCTGGGGATGGGCAGGACACTGGCTCTTACAGGCCTGTCTCAGCCCAGACCACTGCACAGAGCTCTTCCTCCCCCAGCCAGAAGGCACAGGCCTGGATCCTGGGCCGTGGTACTGAGACCAGCACCTTCAAGACCTCTGGGAACGAGAAGACCTGGGTAAAAAGATGCGACTGCCCATTTCCATTCCTCAATCCATTGACTTATGGAGAAATAAAACTCAAGAGCACCTCACAATCACAACAAAGTAGATTTCCTCACAAAACGCCTACAGCCTGTGGTGTGGAGCAAAACATTAGCCTGTGGTTCAGGAACTTCCAAAAGGAAACGAACTTTTTGTTGGAATGTACGACTCAGAGCAATCTACAGATTCAGTGCAATCCCCAGCAAAATACTAATGTCATTTTTCACAGAAACAGAAAAACAATCCTAAAATTCCTTAACAGTCCATCAAAAATAATGCCTAAGTATTTCTGGGCAATGGATCAATTTCCAAGTTACCTCTCCAGAAGGCACCACATCCATCAAGACTTAAGTGCCCCTTAGTGCTGAAATTGTAAACCTGAAATATGGAACCAAAAAGGAGCCCGAATAATCAAAGCCATCCTGAGCAAAGAGAACAAAGCTGGAGGCATCACACTACCTGACTATAGTACCAAAACAGTACAGCACTGGCATAAAAGAATAGAGAAACCAGAAATAAACCCACATATTTATAGCGAAATTATTTTTTTTTTCCGAAGTGAAATGGCATAATCACAGCTCACTGCAGCCTTGAACTTCTGGGCTCAAGTGATCCTCCTGCCTCAGCCTGCCAGAGTGCTGGGATTACAGGCGTGAGCCACCACGCCTGGCTTAACCAATGGATTTTTGACAAAGGCTCCAAGAATACTCAGTGGGGAAAGCACCACATGTACTCACCAGCAAATTGATATTAACTGATCAACACCTAAGTGGACATATAGGAATAACATTTATCGGGTGTCGAGCAGGTGGGGGGGAGGGGATGGGTATATACATACATAATGAGTGCCGTGTACACCAACTGGGGGATGGACATGCTTGAAGCACTGACTGGAGAGGGGAGGAGGCCAAGGACAATATATGTAACCTTAACAGTTGTACCCCCATAATATGCTGGAAAAAAAAAAGGGGGGACCAGGCGCAGTGGCTCACGCCTATAATCCTAGCACTCTGGGAGGCCAAGGTGGGCGGATTGCTTAAGGTCAGGAGTTCGAAACCAGCCTGAGCAAGAGCGAGACCCCATCTCTACTATAAATAGAAAGAAATTAATTGGCCAACAAATATATATAGAAAAAATTAGCCAGGCATGGTGGCACATGCCTGTAGTCCCAGCTACTTGGGAGGCTGAGGCAGTAGGATCGCTTGAGCCCAGGAGTTTGAGGTTGCTGTGAGCTAGGCTGACGCCACGGTACTCACTCTAGACTGGGCAACAAAGCAAGACTCTGCCTCAAAAAAAAAAAAAAAACAAAGAATACTCACTGGAGAAAATAGACTTTCAATAAAGAATGCTGGGAAAACTAGATATCCATGTGCAGAATGAAACTGGCGCTCGCTCGCTCGCTCGCGCTCTCTCTCTCTCTCCCCTCCCCCCCATGTACAAAAATCAACTTGAGGCCGGGTACAGTGGCTCACTCCTGTAATCCCAGCACTCTGGGAGGCCAAGGTGGGCGGATTGCTCGAGGTCAGGAGTTCGAAACCAATCTGAGCAAGGGCAAGACTCTGTCTCTACTATAAATAGAAAAAAATTAATTGGACAACTAATATATATGGAAAAAATGAGCCAGGCATGGTAGCACATGGCTGTAGTCCCAGCTACTCGGGAGGCTGAGGCAGCAGTATTGCTTGAGCCCAGGAGTTTGAGGTTGCTTGCTGTGAGCTAGGCTGACGCCATGGCACTCACTCTAGCCTGGGCAACAAAGCGAGACACTATCTCAAAAAAAAAAAAAAAAAATCAACTTGAGATGGATTAAAGACTTAAATGTAGGAACAAAAACTATAAAATTACTAGAAGAAACCATATGGGAAACATTTTATAGTTAAGACCTCAAAAGCATAGGCAACAAAGATTAAAATAGATAAATGGGACTACACTAAACTAAAAAGCTTCTGGAAAGCAAAGGAAACCATCAGCGGAGTGAAGAGACAATATCTGTAAACCATTCATCTGATGAAGGACTGATTCCCAGAATATACAAAGGACTCAAGTGACTCAGGAAAAAAAAAACACAAATAATTTCATTTAAAAGTGGGCAAAGGGGCCCAGTACAGTGGCTCACACCTGTAATCCCAGCACTTTGGGAGACAGAGGCATGAAGATTACTTGCGGCCAGGGGTATGAGACCAGCCTGGGCAACACAACAAGACCCCATCTTTACAAACAACCAAAATTAAAAATTAGCCGGGCGTGGTGGTGCACACCTGTAGTCCCAGCTACTTGGGAGGCTGAGGCAGGAGGATCACTTGAGCCCAGGAGTTTGAGGTTGCTGAGAGCTAGGATGATGCCATGGCACTCTAGCCTGGGTGACAGAGTTAGAGACTATCTCAAAAAGCGGGGGCGGAGGGGAAGCCAAAAGAAAAAGGAAAGAAAGATGGAAAGAAGAAATCATGTCATTTGCAGCAACCCAGATGGAACTGCAGGATACTATGTTAAGTGAAATAAGCTACATACAGAAAAACAAACACGTGTTCTCACTCATACATGGGAGCTAAAGAAAGTTGGTCTCATGGAGGGAGAGCAGAATGACAAACACCAGAGGGTGGGAAGGGGGATGAAGAAAGGGTGGTTGATGGACACAAACATACAGCCAGATGGGAGTAAGTTCTAGTGTTCGACAGCACAGTAGGGTGACTAAAGTGCACAGTGTATCATATATTTCAAAGTAGCTACAAGAGAGGACCTGGAACGTTCCTGACACAGAAATGATAAATATTGATGTCATGGATGTTCCAAATACCCTGACTTAGTACACATTCTGTGCATATGATGAAATATCACATGTACCCCCAAAACCTGTACAAACACATATCAGTAAACACATATGTCCAAAAGGCTTGGGATGGGGCTGGAGACCGCTCTCTAGGGTGCCGCCCATTTCTACAACAAGGTCAGTCTCCAACCTCTTCACTTTACTCCTCCTCCTACCTGGGGCATCTTTTCTGGCTCCACACTTCTGGGATCTGAGTGTTTCTGAAATCCCCTCAGAACAAACATTTGTACAAGACCTGAAAAAAAAACCACAAAACCCAAGTATTTACACATAATGTAGTCTCCAAACAGCTGTGACCCACACAGACCATCCTCCACAGGGGTGTGTGCACATGGCTTGAGGGCTGACCAGGCCAGGGGCGGTGCCAAGCCTGCCAACACTACCAGACTTGTCTTCTTGCCATTCTATCTGACAAGGGAATCAAGATTATAGCAAGAGTTTTTCTCTCCTAAACAAAGAAGTGGCTCCCGAGGATGCCTTGGGGATGGTCTCTCCAGCCATCTCCAAGGCCAGCAACCAGAGGACAACCTGGCATGTCACCACCACTCCTGCGCGCGCCTGACACCGATTTCTTTCTCTCCAAAGAGCACGCTCGCCGCCCCACCCCCACAGCAGAGCGCTAATTTCAAAAGGATCTCTCTCTCTCATCATCCAATTAAACTATATACCTAGAGACATAAGAATTAAAGGAGTTTTTTAGAAATAAGTAAAGAGCTCAATGGCACCCAGAAAGTTTATGGAAAAGGAATGTGAATACTTTCGCAAGTGACACAACACAAGACAAGCTACCATAGATGGAACATTCCACTCCTTACGCGTCTTAATTTGATATATAATTTTATTATAGAATAGACAAAATATATCCCCCACAGGGCACCTGGGATTACTGGCCATGTAGGCGTCTGTTGCCGCAGACGCAGCGCCGACTTGTCAGGAAAGGCGTGCAGAAACACACCTGAGCTACTGGAACTTTCATACCCTGGTTGCAAGACAAACACCAGGACACGTTCACAGCTGTGATGATGTCCGCTGCGACCTCCACACCCTTGTGCAAGGAGGCAGTTCTCTTGCAAGACGCTTCAAGCAACAGGGCCATGCCCACTGGTCACATGATTTACCCAGGAACGTACTAGAAAGCATAGCTCTGGTGATGTCACTGTCCTCACAGGACTCTCTATCTATCTGCCTCGCCACAGAAGCCAGGTTCCTGAGAGCCAGGGCCACGCTCCCAAGGCCCGCACGTCGGGGTGGCTGGAGACACAGAGGCACAGCTCAGCCTGAGCGACCGTTCCATTGCCATCGTCACCAACACTCATTTCTCCAGCGAGGCTGAGCTGGCAACTGCCTAAGCCTTTCTGCCCCAGAGCGAAGGGGAACTCTCTGGTCTTGCTACTCACATAAAAAAAAAAAAAAATCATCATTTTTGGCTGGGCGCAGTGGCTCACACCTGTAATCTCTAGCACTTCTGTGTAGGCAAGGTGGGTGGTTGCTGCAAGCCGTCAGGAGTTCAACGAACCAGCCTGAGCAAGCAGGAGACCCCGTCTCAGCTATAAATAAAAGAAATTGTTGGCTAACTAATATTACTAAGATAGGCATAAGAGGAATAAATAGATAGATAAAGAAGGGAGGAAAAGAAGAAGGAGCAGAGAATATAAAAAAAAGCTAGAGACAGAGAGAATATATAATAGAGGTTGTTGTGAGCTTAGGCTGATGCCAGAATACATAGGAAATAAGAAGATACTGTCTCAATACAAATATTAGGATAAATAATGATCAATCAGATAGCGAAGATCGATATATATAACAGTATAATAGAAGAGAGAGGAGGGGGAGGAATACAAAAAAATATAATGATAATGAAAGAACCAAAGAAAGAAAATATAAATAAACAAAAATAAGATAAAAGGGTTTCTCATTACAAGCACAGCCCGAAGAATAACCCACGATGAAATGTGGCATTACACATAAGCTGAAGAGAAACATTGCCCCCAGAAGAAATAGAAAGATAATAATACGCAAATAGATATATAATATACCGAACTGTTTGTTTCTATCAACCAGAAATAGCCATATATAATAGATAATAATAAATGAATCAATAATATATAAACTATAATTATAGTAGAAATGATAGAATTAATACATATAACTACAAAACAAAAACATATAGATTGCTTGTACATACAGAGTTAAATGACTTCTCATATTCCACTGTCTCTGATCATGTCCTTTGACATGCAAGTTTTAAAATTGTTAAAATTCAATGAAGCGCAGGCCGGGTGCGGTGGCTCACTCCTGTATTCCTAGCACTCTGAGAGGCTGAGGAGGATTTGTTGAGCTAAGAACGTTTGAGGCAAGACCGAGATCCCATCTCTTACTCTTAAAATAGAAGCTCTTTTAGCTGAACAACTAAAAATATATAGATACTTAAATTCGCCAGTACCAGTAACTAAAAAAAAATAATATAATATATCAATATTATAGTAAGTAATAATAAAATTAGCAGAGAGACGCGCTTGCGTGGCTCATACCTGTAATCCTGCACTCCTGGAGGCCGAACGGGGGCGATGTGTTCAACGGTCCAGGAGTTCACACCAGCCTGAGCAAGAGTCAAGACCCTGTCACTAATATAAATAAGAAACAGCGAAAGTAAATTAATTGCGCACTAAAAATACTAGAAAAATTAGCGAGCATTCTGTTGGGCGCATGCCTGTAGTACATAGTCCCAACTATCGGGAGGCTGAGGCAGGAGGATTTGCTTGGCCCAGGAGTTTGGGTTGCCGTGGCTAGGCTGACCACGGCATGATCTGGCTGGCACAAAAGCGAGACTCTGTTCAAAAAAAAAAAAAGAGCACAGGCATGGGGTAGCCATGTACAGTCCCGCTTCCTCAGGAGGCTGAAGGCCCAGGTGATCGACTTAGCGCCAGGGTTTTGAGGTTGCTGGTGAGCTAGGCTGATGCCAGCATCTACCTGGGCAACAGAGTGGAGATGGTTGCAAAAAAGTGTGTTTGTCATGCAGTTAAGTTTATTAATCTTTTAAGCTTTAGTTTGGCTAGTTTAATATTTTAAAATATCTTCCTGTTTCTTTTCCTTCTTATATTCTTTTTTTTCTCCTTCACTGAATTATCTAGATCTTTTTGGTACAAGGAAGATCCCAGTTTTTTTAATCCTGCGTAGTTGGGTACACCTGGCCTAGCCTCAAAGCATTGTTTAATTCTCGAAGTTCCCCCAAAGACGGGAAGCACCACAACTCTCCACCTTGCCGCTGGCTGGGGGAGGCAGCAGGCTGCTGTCTGAGGATCCAGATCTTTCTTATCTATACTTTACTCAGTGCTGTTGAGCCTACACCTTCAGGAATAAAAAGGAAACACTGGCCTGGCTCTCCTCTTCCCAAACACTGCTGGCTCAGGACGGGTCTCAGCAAGTTGGCTAAGTCACTAATGTCTGGTCCGTATACATCCTGTCTCCAAAACTGTGCTTGTTACCTCCTTTCCTATACTCATCCATCTTTACGGGCTTATAGGAGTCATAAAGTTCCTTTTCTGACTTCTAATCAGATTTCAGGAGGGAATAAAAGTAGTTTATTCTACATGTATTCTATCAACCATATTTACATGGACTCCTCTTTTTTTCCCCCAGTTTTTAAACATATTATCACAAGATGTATCTCGTACAAAGAAAACATGCATGATAAGCACTTCAGTTACAACAAAGGTTCTCTTTAATATAGCAATAACTTCTTGAGGTGATTTTTGGCTTAGAAATATAATTTGTCTTAGACTAGATTGCAAAAATAATCATGCACTATTATAAAACACAATCATCATTACCTTTCCACCAGCTCCTGTAGGCTCACGACGTTTTGCACATGAAGACACCACACAGCTTCAAGCAACAAAGAATTCTGAAGAAAATAACAGTACTGTGAGTCCTTCATGCATGCATTTCCTATACAATGTTCACCCTCAGTTCCTAACCATCATGCCCTAAGGAAAATTAAAGTGGAGTAACACACATGGCCTGAAATACACAATTCATGGTTTTCAAACTCTCCAGCCCTAGACACTCACAACTAATACCTCAAATTTACTACTTCTTCCCTCCTGGGCTCTAGTGTAACCCTCCTCCAATCCTCTCTCCAAACTGTGGCCAATACGATATTTCAAAACACAAAATGGACATGCCGACCTCCTCTTTAGAAGTCTGTGGCCTCCTCACAGCTCTCAAGACACAGTTCAAACTCACCGTGGGGCACAGCCCTCTGTGACCTGGCCCGCATCTTTCCCGTTTGACCCTCTCCCACTTGACAACCCCTCTCCAGCAAAGACGCACACCATTCACTAGGACGCTGTGCTCCAGTCATGCTGACTGAGCTTCATGGCCTGCTGTGTCCTCCCCTCCTGTCCGGCTAACTCCCACTCCGCCCATACCCCCAACTCTCCATTCTGACGTGCATGTTCATCTTCTCTGCAACTCACGCCCTCCGAGTTACCCTTTTCCACATTTGAGAGTGTCGGGTGCAGAAACCACAACAATATGCCTGACAAATCAAATGAACTCTATAATGTACGCTGAATAAAAAAATGGGGAAAAAGTGAACAATCACCTTCGTTTTTTCTTTCCTTTTTCCATATACATGCTAATCCTCATTTAGTACCAAGGGGTTACTTTGAGTTCATTCAACTCTTCACAAGTTTTTAAGTATACTAAGTTCAAAATGCTTCAGAAATGAGCAAGTAAGAATAATCTTCAAGTTACATTTTTATAGTTTGCTGTCTTGGTAAATTCTTTTTTTTTTTTTTTTTTAATTTTTAAAAGCCAGTCAAATTTAGCAGTGAGGGTTGAATACCAACTTTAGTGACACTAATGTTAATGTCCTGGTAAATTCTTTACAATCATATACTCAAGGCAGAGCAGCATGTTTTGTGGCATATACTATTCTAATAAACACTCCTAATGACAGGTGTGCAGGGATAACTCGTGACTGTAGGTGGCCCATCCTACCCACAGAAACTTTGCTGAACCCTTTTCTGTTCACTGTCACTAATGAGAAGCTCGGTGGAATTCCTAAGAAAACTAGAGGTTTTGCTGGCTCCATCCAGGTCAACAGAATACCACTTAAAAAAACTGGAGAGGCAGAGTTATAACCTCAAACTTACCTGCACTCTCCATAATTCTTGACAGAAGACGAGACGGGAGAACATTCCCTGTGCCAGTAAGTGCTGAGCAGTCTCCAACAAAGAAGACAGTTTCTTCTGCAAAAAGATTAAATCTTATTTAAAAAAAAAAAAAAAAAAAACAGGCAAATTACCTGAAACAACATCAAAGAAACCAGCGTAAACATAACAGCACGCTTCCTCTGCTCACTGGCATCTTACCCTCTGCTCCAGGGCCAGCATGGCAGAGCGCCCCGGCTCTGCGGGAGCCACGCAGATCTGCTCCACGCTGGAGGCCACCACCCTGGCCGACAGAACTCCCACTGGGACCCCCAGCCTTGAGGCTTGATCCCGCAAAACACACCCTTAAAGACAAAATAAAGATATAGCTTATTTTGCTTTCTCTTAAAACGTGGGACAAAATTTAAGACAGAAGACTTGAAGTTTAAAATGCCTTACTTTAAGTTGTAGTATCATAGAAAACGGCCTTTAAAGGGGAGAGCAGATGTGAAGGGAGAATATTGAGATAAAAAATTAAGGTGATTTCATGACCAAAGCGGCTCACAAATAATTAGTAGAAACCTCTGAACCCCAGAGTTATACATACATTTGTTATGCTTTGTGTGACACAAAACAAGGAGATATTAATATATTCTGATCAATAATTGTATCACGTTTTTCCAAAGGAACACAATAAACTGAGAACCGTAGCAGGCTCTTTCAATTCATTTGTTTTTCTAATTACTTCTGGGTCACAGACAAGCCTGCTTCTGTTGACATATAGATTTTTTTAAGAGACAGGGTCTCACTCTGTTGCCCAGTCTAAGGTACACTGGTGCAATCACTGCTCACTATAACCCTGAACTTGTGGGCACACCTATAGACATTGATGTTTGAGTTAAAATTAGGTAGGGATTTTTGCAATGCTCTGCCATGCACCTGCTGGGCAGAAGACACAGGTGTGCTCAGACCTCAGGGTTGCCAGGTAGAACCTGCAGTGCTGGCCCACAGGAGCACCAGCCTCTGGTCTACATTCAATATAACAAGAGCTGTGCATAGTGGCTCACACCTGCAATCCCAGCATCTTGGGAGGCTGAGGTAGGAGGATCTTTGGGTCCAGGAGTTCAAGGCTGTGGGGAGCAATGGTCATGCCAATGCACTCCACCTGAGTAACAAAGCAAGACCCTGTCTCTTTTTTAAAAAGTGAGAAATGCTGGGCAGCTGGAAGAAGGCAATGCCTATGAGCACACCGGTACCTAATTCATTTGGCATCCAAAACGATCTTAACAAGATAGGAAACTGCAGTACAGGCCTGTTATCTTCAAGGCTCTGAAAACACAGTTAGAGGCTTCCAATTACAGTATTAGAAATCAGCAACTGCTGTGGTCAAGATGTAATTCATGGGAGAAAGGTAGAAAAATGCCAATTTCTAGACATTTGTTTCTAATTTATCTCCACAGAAAAGTTTGTTTTTATTTACAAGGCTTTTACCACATATATAAATGTAAGTAAGTATAGTAGTAGCTCTATCTTCAGCAGGAAAAATGAAAAAAAGTCATGAATTAAAGGTCTATATTTCTGTGGTTCACATGAAAGAGCTTCTTACATAAATTCTCACAACTTGATCTCAAGTTCCATACAAGAAAGTGTGTGCCTGAGCCTGCTCCCCTTGAATGATGTAAAGTTTGTGAAATTCAAAAACAATTATGGCAGTGCAAATCAATACCATTCACCAGTGACACTCAGCTATCAATGATGATTGATGATCAGCTATCATGGCAGGCCTATTATTTAAGGTTATTTTAATAGAAATTTAAAATAAGTTACTTAATGTCATTTTCTGAAACAACAGTCATTACATAATAAAAATGAAAAGGACCAGGAAACAGCTTTCATTTTGTTATTGTCCCAGAACTCCCCCCATCTCACACTCTCAGACTGGGGGAGAGAGGAGACCTAGACTCCCATTTCTGGTTTCCTGTCTGCTCCATGGAGCTCAGCACAACCTGTTTTGGCCACATCCCTGCTGTGGCTGCCCCATGCTTCCCAAGGGACATTTTGGTTCCTGCTGCTTCTGAGCCCCACGTTGAATCAGTTTTTAAACATGGAATCATGAAAAGCCCAAAGCAAATCACAAAAACACGATTTGTAATATGTGACTATACACACAAGTGGAAAACCATTATCTGGGGGAAATTTAAATTTCTACTTATTATAATCATAAAGTGATCATAGTCACTTTATATAAAAAATCCTGTGTAACTCATTAAGAAAATGAAGCTATAACTTACCTACAAATGAACTAGAATGATCAGCATAGGGCTCAGGACCCTCACAAACAACCAATTCGCTGAGACACAATTTTTTACACGATGGACCGTCTACCTAGAAACCAAAATACAAAGAATTCCATTTTTAAAACTCAAGCTGTGTGCATAAAACACGATCTATATAATGCCTACTGAGCTATTCTCAAGTATTTTAAAAAGTGAAAAACTTTAAAACCTTTTGATAATTATTAAATTCATTTTTCAAGTTCTTTTACATCCAAAGACATAAATGCTGCCAGTTTTTCTTCTCGCCTAAGTCAAAATTCAATGACTGCCCCTATCAGATTCTAGGCTTTCCAGATGCTTTCTCATGCAGGCAATACCTTGGCTGGGTTCAAAAAACACAAACCTATATATGCCTGCAAAGGAAAATCAATTTTCTCTCACCTCAAGTAAAAGGTTATTCAAGTCTTGATGGCTTCTCAGGAGTTGCACAGCTGATGCCTTTAATTTCTGTTCCCTTTCAGGATTATTTTTTTGCCTCTTGACCCTTCCTGCTAATGGGGAAAATCAGTTTCAAAAATCACTATTTAAATAAGACACTGTGACATCCCGTAGCCCGACCTGATGCACTGCGGACACACACTATTTCTGTGGGATTCCTCAATTCGGTTATGAGAAAACATCAGACAAACCCGACTGAAGGACGTTGTATAAAATAACAGACCAGCACTCCTCTAGTGTTGAGGTCTTGAAAACAAGGAAAGAGAACTGTCCCAGACAGAACACTTAAGAGGACACTAACATATGACGTGGGATCCTGGGACAGAAAAAGGACATTATGGAGAAAACCGGTGCGATCAGAATCAAGTCTGCAGTTAACAAACAGTACCAAACCAACGTTAATTTCTTTGGGTCTGATTCTTACCCAACATGGGTGTGCCGTTCTCCTGCTAGGTTAAATCTAATGTTACTGGACTGACATTCGGGATGAAACTTAAACCTCTAGTTTGCAGAGCCCCTATCCTGATGTCCTAGTTTGCCTGGGTCCGCTGGGGAGGGAGGGGACACCAGGGTCAAGGGCGCGGAGGGGGTCTCGGGGAAGGGAGGGGACACTCGAGGGGGGGAGGGAGGAGGAAGGGGACGCCAGGGAGTCAGGGGCGCGGAGAGGGTCCTGGGGAGGGAAGGGGCCCCGAAGGAGCGCGGGGACGCAGAGGGAGTCCTAGGGTAGGGAGAGGACGCCAGTGGGTCAGGGCGGCAGAGGGGGTCCCAGGGTAGCCAGGGGACGCCCGGGGGTCAGAGAGGGTCCCGAGGTAGCCAGGGGACGCCCGGAGTCAGGGCCACAGCGGGGGTCCTGAGGTAGGGACAGGACGCCCGGGGTGGTGAAGAGAGAGGAGGGAGTCCCGGAGGAGGGAGGGGACGTCCGGAGGGTCAGGCTGCAGAAGAGGTCCTGGGGGACCGAGAGGGCCCCGGGGAAGCGAGGGGACATGAGGGGGTGAAGGCCACAGAGAGAGCCTCGGGGGGAAGGAGGGGACACCGGGGGGTCACCGGCACGGAGGGAGTCCTGGGGCAGGGAGAGGACACCCGGGGGGTTCAGGGACGCGGAGGGAGTCCCGGGATAGGGAAGGGACACCGGGGGGTCACAGGCACAGAGGGAGTCCCGGGATAGGGAAGGGACACCGGGGGGTCACAGGCACAGAGGGAGTCCCGGGGTAGGGAGGGAGGCCCGGGGTAGGGAGGGGACATCGGGGGGTCACGGGCACGGAGGGAGTCCCGGGGTAGGGAGGGGACACTGGGGGGTCACAGGCACGGAGGGAGACCCGGGGTAGGGAGGGAGTCCCGGGGTAGGGAGGGAGTCCCGGGGTAGGGAGGGAGTCCCGGGGTAGGGAGGGGACACTGGGGGGTCACAGGCACAGAGGGAGTCCCGGAGTAGGGAGGGGACACCCAGGGGGTCAGGGACGCGGACCCGGCCCCGAGGGAGCGACGGGCACTCGCTGAGGGGACCGCGGACTAAGGCCCCGTGCCCTGAGGCCCCACCTGGCGGCAGTCTCACCGGCGGAGGCTCGGGCAGGAAGGGGTCGCGCTGCCCACCCCGGCGGCCTCCCGCGCCCACCTACCCAGCAGCTCCGCCCAAGGCCTCCGGCAGACCCCCGGCCCCGCGCCTAAGGCAGCATCCCTGGCCGCAGAGCCCGACATGGTTACTACTCTCAGCCTGGCGGCAGCTCGTGATCTCCAAACCCGCGCTGGCTTCCCATTGGCTGCGGCCGGGCGCGCTTACCCATTGGCTGGCGGGCGCCCGGCCCCGCCCCGCGGCGTTGGGCGCTTGACGGCCATCTTGGCGGCCGCCCCTGGCGGCCATCTTGATGGTGGCAAAGCCGGAGGCGGCGGGGCGGGGTAGACGCGTTTGAACTAGGGAACCGCGGAGGGACTAAGATGTCCCTTGTGCATTGTTCTGTAGGGGGAGGTAACCTTGGCTTGATCTTTTCCGCCAAAGTGTCATGGGTAGCACACTTCTGCATACCTTGCTGTGCCTGACTGGCCCCACCGTAAACATTTGCTCCTTCACTTAGAGCCACGCACCCTCCTCCGTGGCGCAGCAACAACACCCGCAACAACAACAAGGTGCGGCGGGGTGCGACGAGGCGCAGCCGCAGGTCTGCGTGGGGGATGAAAGGGGAGAAACCCGCTGCAGAGCGCGCTGGGCGCCCTGCTGGTCAGAAGTGCAGGTTTCCCAGCCTGAGCAAGAGCGAGACTCCCCATCTCTACCAAAAATAGAAAGAAATTAATTGGCCCACTAAAAATATATAGAAAAAGTTAGCTGGGAATGGTGGTGCATGCCTCTGGCCCCAGCTACTTGGGAGGCTGAGGCAGGAGGATCGCTTGAGCCCAGGAGTTTGAGGTTGCTGTGAGCTAGGCTGACGCCACGGCACTCACTCTAGCCCGGGCAACAGAGTGAGACTCTGACTCAAAAAAAAAACAAAAACAAAGAAGTACAGGTTTCGACTTGCCAGGGCAATGACTATTTTCTTAACGGCACCTTGGGTCGTTGCTAACAGCTCCTGCCTGGAATCGGAGCTGGTCATGAAGAGACAACCTAAGAAATGGAAGGAGAGGCTAAAACCACTGACCTGCGTTACACGGAGCACCCAACCTGATCCCATCTGCCCATAAGTTGGAAAACAGAAAAAAATAAGCTCTATGATTCTGCAGCGATGCAAGTGGTCCGTGTTAAGTCCTGTTCAGTGCAGCCGGTGCAAATGAGCACAGAGTGCTCGGTTCCCCTGAACTGTAGCTAACTTGAGGGCCTGTGCTGGGCTGTTAGGTAGTAACACCGCCAAGCACAGCCGCCCAAGAAGCTGCAGTGAGGCCCGGAGTCGGTGCTATTCTTCTGTGGTTTGCATCTTCCCCTCAATGTGATCTTTGTAAGAGTCATCTACATTGTCTATAGCTGTAATTAATTCATTCGCATGGTTGCATAGGATTAGGTTGGTGCAAAAGTAATTTTGGTTTCAGACCACGAATTTTAAATCCTTATAACTAGCCTGAAACACATGTGTAGTAATCAAAACAGGAACCATTTTAACCAACACCTTTTTGCCAACGAGAAATAAGTGTGTTTGTTCCTATAGTGTAAAAATCCGTGCTTCGGGATTTGACGAACTCTTGGAAAGCATTTTCTGCATCCTGATGGTGGCGGAAGTGGTTTTCCCTGCAAAAAGCTGTCAAGGTGCTTGAAGTGGTGGTTGGTTGGGGAGAGGTCAGGTAAATACGGCAGATGAGGCAAAACTTTGTAGCCCAATTCGTTAAACTTTTAAGCATTGGTTTTAAGCACTGGTTGTGCGATGCGTGGTCAGGTGTTGTCATGGAGAAGAATTGGGCTGTTTCTGTTGACCAGTGCCGGCTGCGGGTGTTGCAGTTTTCGGTGCATCTCATCGATTTGCCGGGCATACTTCTCAGATGTAATGGTTTTACTGGGATTCGGAAAGCTGTAGTGGATCAGACCACCAAACAGTGACCATGACCTTTTTTGGGTGCACGTTTGGCTTTGGGAAGCACTTTGGAGCTGCTTCTTGGTCCAACCACTGAGCTGGTGTCTTTACCGATTGTATAAAATCCACTTTTCATCACACGTCACAATCCAATTAAGAAATGGTTCCTCGTTGCATACACAAACAGAACGTGACACTTCAAAACCACGATTTTTTTATTTTCAGTCAGCTCATGAGACACCCACTTATTGAGCTTTTTCACCTTTCTGATTTGCTTCAAATGCCAAACGACCTCAGAATGGTCGACATTGAGTTCTTCAGTAACTTATCTTGTAGTTAGTTGTAAGAGGATCAGCTTCAATGATTGCTCTCAATTGGTCATTGTCAACTTCCCATGGCCGGACCCTGCGCTCCTCGTCTTCAAGGTTCTTGTCTCCATTGCAAGACTTCTTCAGCCACCACTGCACTGTACGGTTCTTTCCTGGGCCAGAGGCATTGCTGATGTTGTGAGTTGTCTCTGCTGTTTTACGACACATTTTGAACTCAAATAAGAAAATCTGCTCGGGCCGAGCGTGGTGGCTCACACCTGTAATCCTAGCACTCTGGCAGGCCAGAGGAGGAGGATGGTTTGAGCTCGGGAGTTCGAGCCCAGCCTGAACAAGAGACCCTGTCTCTACTAAAAATAGAAAATTAATTGGCCAAATAAAAATATACAAAAAATTAGCCACGAGTGGTGGCGCATGCCTGTAGTCCCAGCTACTTGGGAGGCTGAGACAGGAGGATCGCTTGAGCCCAGCAGATTGAGGTTGCTGTGAGCTAGGCTGATGCCACAGCACTCTAGCCTGGGCAACAAAGTGAGACTCTGTCTCAACAACAACAACAAAATCCTCTTTCTTCTTGCCCTCTGCTCTCCCAAAAGTCAGGCATCAGAAGAAATAGGTAAACCTGAAAAGGATTAAGCCAAACCAGGCAGCTTCCCCACCTCCCCCTGCAGCCCCCTCACACTTTGGGGCGTGGAGGAATGTGAAGAGGGATTTTCCCTCAACGTTGCCCGTGATGCCCAGAAATACTGGGGAGAGGGTGAGTTTCCTAGGTCAACTGTGAGCCTCAGGTAAGGGGTGACTCAAAGGCATTTACAGCATGAGAACTCGCAAAAGCAAGTGCCTCAGGAAAGCTGATGTGCTTCCAAGTCCTGGGGACTCTGCTCCCCATTCCCGCCCTGGGGCCTCAAACCAATAAAGGGGCTTAGCCCTTGGCGGGTGGCCACCCGGGCCTCTTATACTCTTTCTTTGCCTCAGAGTGACGCCCCCTTTGCATGACCCGGCTGTGGGCTGTGTGGCCCACACAGTGCACACGTTCAGCACAACACTCTTTGTGACCCGAGACACAGAGGAGGGCATGGGACAGGAATATGAATTCAAGTCCCCTCAATGGTTTCTGCCAGGGCCAGACTCACACTATGCAGTCTGCTGGTGGAGTTCCACGGTGTGAACTTCCGGAAGAGACCAGCTCACAACAAGGGTGCAAAGGCAGAGATGGGTCATCAAGCCAGAGCCTCAGGATGGGCTTTGCTGATAGAGCCAGAAAGACCCCAGGGACAGCAGGGCCCTGCTTGGACTCTTACTCCCTGGCTGTGCCACCTCCCGACCAGTCATGGCATGGCACCGACGACGGGTACCTGGGCCACACCAAGAGCTATCGGCCTTCATCTCAGAGGTGGCCCCGGCCACCCTTTCAGATGACTTGAGGAGTTGTTCATCCGGCTTGGGGAGCACTGTTTCCACTTGGCCATGAGTCACCCTGAGCTTTTCTTTCTCAGTTCCCCCGAGCTTCTGTCAGACATGGAGCCCTATTTTAATTAGCAATAAACTCACTGCACATCTTGTCCAAAGGCTTACCGAATTCCAAACGTAAACACAACCGGTTTATGCTCTTGGAGATCGCTAAGCACGTTTCTTTAAAGCAAGTGAACTTACAAAGGCGTCATAAAATCACCAGCCCTGGCGCACCCTCTCGGGGATGGTCATGCTACAAACTCAGACTTGTGGGAGGAGAGGGGAAAGGGCATTTATTGAAACCTTAAAATTTGTACCCTCATAATATGCCGGAAAAAAAAAAAGATGATGAACAGAAAAAAAAAAATTGCCAGCCCTGGACGCAGGGTCCAGGACCACATGGAAAATTGCTGTGCTCAGAAACACTCCATTGGCCGGGCGCGGTGGCTCACGCCTGCAATCCTAGCACTCTGGGAGGCCGAGGCGGGAGGATGCTCAAGGTTAGGAGTTTCAAACCAGCCTGAGTAAGAGTGAGACCCTGTCTCTACTAAAAATAGAAAGAAATTAATTGGCCAAATAAAAATATTTAGAAAAAACTAGCCGGGCATGGTGGCACATGCCTGTAGTCCCAGCTATTCGGGAGGCTGAAGCAGGAGGATTGCTTGAGCCCAGGAGTTTGAGGTTGCTGTGAGCTAGGCTGATGCCACGGCACTCTAGCCTGGGCAACACAGTGAGACTCAAAAAACAAAAAAATAGAAAAGAAACACTCTGGTGGCCACAGAGCCCAGGCCACCAAGCCCGCTGGCAGCATTGCTCTGGGACTCCCACTACCAGAGGTGGAGGTTTGCCGGGTCAGGTTTAACGCTGTTGAGGACATAGCCTGCAGCTGTGCAGCGTATGGGGCCAGTAGCACGCCCGGTTTTCTGCAAGGCCCACACCCTGTGTCTCCCTTCCAGAGGCTTCACCAGGTCTCTGACTGCAGGAAAAGCCAGCCCAAGGTGTTTTTGTGCTGGCATGCGACTCTCCTAACCAGGAAACTTAAGGTTGGAGAAGTAGAATTCATAAGGTCTTTCTCCGCTCAGCACCCAGACTGCTCGGGAAGGAAAAGGAGCCAAAGCATACTTTCATGCCTCAGTTTCTCCATTTACAAAGCCAGCCTGACTACTGATGCTCAGGAGTTTCCCTGGGAGGACAAGGGGTTGGTTCTCCCAGGTACGTGTGCAGGTCCAGAACGTACAGCAACCCACACTGCTCAACCTAGAGCCGGGGGCTGGCGGAGACCCCCTTTTACCTGAAACCCTGCTTCTGCCAGGTGACCTGGGCAGGGAACTCTGCCCACTGTTCTCTCAGCCACTCAGCATTGGGTAAGACCCCCCACCGGGCTCCCACACACTTCCTGGAAGGGCTGATCACCACCCACAGGCACACACAGAGCCACTTTGCTCCAAATTCCTGGAGTTTGAGACAAAAAAGAGGGAGGGTG